TTTTGAATAGTTACGAAATTATGTTTTGCTGCAATAATTCCTTTACTGTTCACTTACTGCAAAAATTTCCCATTAATAACAATATGAAACTAATTATTGTAACTATTTTTTTCCATGGTTCTTTGATATTGATAATCAGAAGAAATGACATAATAAAAATAATTACACAAAAAATTTCGAAATTTCAGAATTTAGCGTAGTTGAAAATTCCGATTGAATCCCATTGAAAATGAAAATGATGTATCAATAGAGTCTACTTTTATTTTATTTTCCATGGAATAAACACATCTTTATATTCCACAGATAACTATTTTTATATCGGCTTAGATTCATTAAAATCTAAATAACCATTTCAAATGTGGTCAAAGTTCAATGAACAATTTCGCTTGGACGATTATTTTTCAACAGGTGTTGTTAGATCTATGTAGGTCTAATCTTATATCTGAGCTGTATATAATTATATCTGATCATATTCTATCGGATCAAGTCAAACTTAATCGTTCCTTATGAGAAATATCAAATAATTTTTTTTTCTCTTTGTAACGGTTTTGTTAACTGTTCATTTAGCCCCTTATAAAAATTAATTAAAATACAATAAACTAAATAAAATGACTCTAAATTAATAAATAAGGGTGCCACCAGGATTTTTTTATATTCCTTGCTGGTGTCGTCCAGCTGGCCTCTATGAATATCATGTACAGCCAATGTTTGTTCGGCAATGAGCCGAGTCCTCACAGTTGAAGATAATCGAAAATTAAACTGGCGCATAGCGAAAATTATCCGACCATGGTGGGACTCGAACCCATGCCTGGCCAGTACCCGTAGTTCGAAGTCAAGCACGTTAGCCGCTCGGCTACAAGTACTGGTTTCAGAGTATTAGTTAATCTCTCATATCTGTCCACGCTCTGTATTGTATGTCTATAATTCATTCATTTTATAAACTTAATATATAAAACCGGAATACTGCTACACGCACTTTCATTATTGCCATTAACTTCATTATTTTATTATCACTGACCAATTGATATTTGAACTTACATCTTTCATTAGAAAATTAGAAACTGCAAAAAGAGCTTGTTGGGGCCATTGAAACATCCAATTAATTGTAGTATTTTTAACAATACCAGGATAGTTTCTGCAATGTTTCTTAAAGAGATCGTCTACTGGGCTCATCGACAATGCAATATGGAGATTTGCAGTGCAAGTTTTTGTGAAATAGGACCAAATATTTTCTCTGTAAAACAAAAATCTCCATTATCAAAATATTAACTAATACTATTTTCTCTGATTGATGTAATTTTTACTGACTTGTCAATACAATATCCTTCTTGAGTTACATTTCCTTTACATTTGTCATTAATTTTATCAATTTCATTTTCCGTGTATAACGTAAAAGGAATCTCTGCGGCTAATATGTTATTTATTATTTCTAAAAAGTTTTCATCTACAATTTGAGCAGATGTGAATAAAAACAAAATTTTATTGTTGTCAATGCCGACTAAATTAAGAAGTTTTTTTATATCTTTTTGAAAAGAAGTTTCATTATAAGTAAAGTCAAGTAAAATTTCAAAAACATCACATTTGGCGGCAAAGGATGCAAGTCTAATCACTGATTGTTTACCACTTCCACTTGCTCCAACAAGTAACACGTGGCCACGATGCATTTTCAAAATACGGTGAACACGTATTAAATGCTCAAGTGCATCATTAAAAAGAATCATCTCAAGCTTAACATTATTTAAAAAAAAACAAAAAAAAAAAAAAAAAAAAAAAACACACACCATTGCGGGAATAGTCAGGGAAGCTTCCTAGGACCTCGAAATGTCGAGATTCGATGAAAACTCGATTTTCGTAAAACGGGGTGAAAACAATAACTTCCCGATTTTTGAAAATCTTCGATTTTCTTAGCGGGAAGTTGAAAACCCACATTTGAAAAAATTTTTATCTGGTCAGATCTAATTATATCTGATCAGATCTATTTATATCTGAACAGATATGGGATTCGAAACATAATCAGATCTAATCATATCTGATCAGATCTGAACAGATATAATTATATCTGAGTTGAAAAAAACATCAGACATGATCAGATCTAGTCATATCTGATCAGATCTTAACAAATATAACTATATTTGAGTTGAAAAATACATCAGAAACGATCAGATCTAGTCATATCTGATCAGATCTGAACAGATATAATTATATCTGAGTTGAAAAATACATCAGACATGATCAGATCTAGTCTAACAGTCTGCCCTGGTTTCGCATGGGTATTTAACAAAAATTTCAACATCAATTATGATATAATATAGCCTATGTCACCCGGGGATAGTGTAGCTTCCCAACAGTGAAAGAATTTTTCAAATCGGTTCAGTTGTTTCGGAGCCTATTCGATGCAAACAAACAAACAAACAAACAAACATACGAACAATCAAATCTTTTCTCTTTATAATATTAGCATAGATTATAAATAATCTTTTTTACCCGGGCAATTTAAAGATCTGACCAGATCTGATTATATCTGGTCAGATCTCGTCAGATAGAAACAATTTAAAGATCTGGCCAGATCTGTTCATATATGGCTAGATCTAATCCGTTTTTCCCGGGTATCTTATTAGATACAATTCTATAGAATTGTATCTAATTATAATATTTATTAATTTATAATAATAATATTCTGCAAATTTTCTGTATGAAATCAGAAAGAGCTCTTAATTCTGACTACTATAAGTACTCTTTTATTTGAAGTCGTAAAGAGCTCTTAATTCGGATTTCTGCAAGACATCTTATTTTTGAACTCAAAAAGACTTCCTAATTTTAACTTCTGTAAACACTCTTTTTTTTTGAATATATATATATATATATATATATATATATATATATATATATATATATATATATTCCTTTAAAATTAAAAAAATAATAGAGGTAGAATCAGAATTAAAAGCTCAAATTTTGATGGAATTATTTTTGTTTAGTATATGGAACTATATATAGCTGGAGGGCCCGACTAACAATTTATGAACTTGACAAAACTAATAATTTTTGTGAAATTAAATTTTTTATAAGTTCCTATTATTTCATTCGCAAAATACTATTTATTGAAAGATTGTTAATCATTGGAGTAACAGACTCTTGGATAAAAAAAGAGAATGCTTAATAGTAATCACAAAATACATATCAAGTCATATCAACTCTGGTCAGGGATTTTTTTTTCAAGTTTATCGAAGTATATATAACTTTATAAGGTTATATCAGGCCATATCAGGACCTATTAAGAAATAATATAAAATTATATATGAGCTTATCAAGCTATATCAAGTCTAATATAGACATATCAAATTGATTAGGCTTGATATGGCCAATTTTCATATCAGGCCATATCAGGACATATCAAAAATTAAATATGGACATATCAGGTCATATCAGGCCAGATACGAATATATCAAAAATTCTTATATGGCCTTATCAACTCATATCAAGTCTGATCAGAATATTTTTTCACGGATATATAATATTGTTTCCCAAGCCCCAGTTTCCCTCGGACCAATATTCGTTTATTGTCTTTCAAGGCTCGGCCCAAGGTTAATTTTTTGGTTTTCCAAGGCTCGGCCCAATGGTCAGCTGAGGCTCGCCCTAGCCTCACGCCAAGGCTTGGAACACTGGCATGACGTCTGGCCAAGATCTGGTCCAGGCCTTGCCCAATGGTTCCTTCCAACTAGGGTAGTCATATCTAATCAGATCTTAACAGATATAACTATATCTGGGTTAAAAAATATATCAAGCATGATCAGATCTAGCCATATCTGATCAGATCTAAACAGATATAACTATATCAAAACGAATAATAATAGAGTTGTGGTTTTTTAATCAATTTGTCACAATGAATTTGTAACGTCCACGTTTTCAACTTATATAACTAATTAATCCCCGGTTCGAAATTTGCTCGCCGGAGTCCAGAGTCATAAACGGGGATCACAAAATATAAACAAAACACCTCATTTTAAATTAATCAACGAAAAAGAAAACCTCTTTATTGGCCTGATCATGTTAATAAACAATATAAACAATACATTAGAACACTCTTTTCACACATATTCACGGTTCGAAATCAATAACGTGGTTCAAAATTAGTAAACAATATAAACAATGTAAGCAATATAAACTAATACAAATAGAACATTCTATCCAAACATGGACGACGGTATTCACGGTTCAAACTCAAAAACGCGATCTACAAAATACAAACTAATTTCCCAATAACACCCCCCCCCCCCAGGGCGACTAGCCGTCAACCCTGAGGGCACTAAACTCTACCCTGAGAGCGAGTGGAGAGTATCCTCCTCGCCCCCACCTACACGGTTTATGATCACCTACCGTACCTCAGCTGAAGGCCTCGGCACGGGGAGTCGCACTTTCATGCGGTCGGTCCACGATACTTGCCTGGGTCTTGTATTGGTTAGACTCCAGGTAGAGTATCATCCTCTTGAATTACTTGGTGAAGAGTATTCAACCGAGTAATTCTCCCGAGAAAGAATTGCTTCTCAAAATTATTTTCAAAACGGAACTTGACATATTTTTGAATCATCACTACAAACGAGAAATCTTCGCCCTCTATCGAGGCTCGCGCAAGCTCATCAATCGTCGAAAATTTTCTAAGTTTTTATTTACCAAACACAATTCTTTAGAATAATAATCGCCATTTCTTTCATTATCCATCCATTCGTTTCGTCAAATTCACAATTATATTTCAAGTCTCGTTCTTCGAGATTACAATGTAGTACCGCTACTTTCCCTAGATTTCAACCACAATTTTCAGAGTAACTTAAAATTTACGCGGGCTCTCGACCCGCCCTCCACCGGTGAATCTTCATAACGTTCTTTGTGCTAGACAAAGCCACATGTTCAGAAATTTTATAAGAAATTTTATTAATTATAAAAATTAATTAAGTGTTTAAATATAATAAAGATCCAAGAAAATTTATAATTTTAAGATCTAGCTACAACAGAAAATGACTAAAAGTAAAAAACGAAGCAGATCTCGTGATCGAGAGGACGACACAAATAAGAAGCTGCGTAGGTTAGAAAAAATGATGGAATTATTTTTAGATCTTCAAAATGTAACATCTAAAAAAGGTAAACTAATTTATTAATAATTAGTATTTATTCATTTATTATTGTTATCAGTATGATTTTCTTTCGGCGTCATGTTCTCGCTATGAATGAGATTTTGATGTGCGATCAGGGCTAGTAAACTTTGCACGAAGGAGGCAATAATCACTAGTGCCATTGACATTCATCTTGATTTTTACAGATGATGGTCATTCCAATAAAGAAAATATCCCTAACAATCCAAAAGATCATGATGCTACGATCAATACAGATCTTACTGAACCCGTTGAGGAGTCAGAGAAATTAGATCCTCAGCAAACTGAGGAAGCTGTATCAGATCCTGCAAAAACTGTCACGCCAGTGGTTGATAATACAAAACAAGTGGAGTCCACAAGCGAAGTGACAAAACTTGATGAAGAGTTGGAGAGCGTACTAGGTGAAGACCCGACTAACCCAAATAAGAAGGTAGTCAACGTGCACCCAAGCCTAGTTCCAAGATGGTCAACATGGCTTACAGAAGGGTTGCCCGAGGACACGAAGAAAGAGTTGAAAGATAAATATCCACTCACCGGTAACGTACGTCTCGAGGCTCCTGAGCTAAATGAGGAAATTGTGTCTACGTTGAACGAGGCAGGAACGAAAAGAGATCAGCTTTTCGTTGCAGAGCAGAACTTAGTAGGTTCAGCTTTATCAGCCTTAGGAGAGGCTATTACGATGATCATAAAGGATGAGGAGGAACCAGTTGATCAACTCCAATTGTTAGAGAAATTATCAGATGGAGGAAAATTACTGTCACAACTACACTTTCAAGTGTCCTCTGCCAGGAAATCCTTTATTGCGCCAGTTCTCACCAAGCCAATGAAGGAGCTTTTACAAAAAACAAAGCCAGGCACCTTACTCTACGGAGAAAAACTATCAGAGAAAATAAAGACAGCAAAATCGGTGGAAAAAATTGGTAGAGAACTGAAAACTCCATCTGCAGCAACATCCTCGTTTGTCGCAAAGAAACCAGCTCAGAAACCAGCCTCTGGGAGGCCTTTAAACTGGCGGGGCCAGTATGCGAGAATGGGGACTCAGCATCAAGGCCAGAAATTCCCTCAAACGAACTACCCCAAAGCAGGACAATACGCCAGCAAGAAATCCAGCAGCTCGTCGAACCAGTTGAGGTCCAGTCGGTTATCACAGGGCGACAAGAAAAAATAAATGATGAGGTGAGTTTGGTAGCCGGGCATCTCAGTAAACTTTTTCATGAATGGAAAAAGATTACTAAGGATGGCTTTATTTTAAAATGTATAAACGGTTACGAAATTCCGTTTTCCACAAACCCACCGTTAGCATTAAGCTATTCTAAAGAGGTAATGTTATCTACAAACGATGAAAGGTTCATGGAGATAGAGATAGAAAAGTTGTTGTCTTCTGGCGCCATAGTCCGGTGCAGGCCAGTAGAAAATCAATTTTTATCTCCATTCTTTTTAGTCCCAAAACCAAATGGCTCAAAAAGATTTATTTTGAACCTTAAGGTATTGAATCAATTTATTAAAACACACCATTTTAAAATGGAGGATTTGCGATCGGCGTTAAGACTTATCAGTAAAGATGATTTTTTATGTAGTCTTGATATCAAGGATGCATATTTCTTAGTTCCAATAGGCAAAAATAGTAGAAAATTTTTGCGCTTTAAGTTCAAGGGTCAGTTAATCGAGTTTACTTGCTTACCTTTTGGACTTTGCAATGCCCCCCACGTTTTCACAAAGATAATGAAGCCAGTATTATTCTATCTCAGAAACAGGGGTCTATTATCGACAGCATACCTTGATGACGTATTATGTATTGGAAGTTCTGAGTCGAACTGCCAGATGAATGTAAGAATAACTCGAGAGACTCTTATTAGGTTGGGTTTCATTATCAATGAAGAAAAAAGCTCACAAAGTCCTTAACAATCTTGTAAATATTTAGGATTTGTAATAAGTTCAGTCGATATGTCATTATCGCTTCCTCGGGAAAAAAGAATTAAGATAATAAAAGCTATTAAAGAGTTCTCGAGAAAAAAGGTATGTCAAATTCGAGAACTAGCAGGGTTAATTGGTTTGCTTGTAGCAGCTTGCCCAGCGATTCCGTGTGGCATGTTGCACACAAAAATCTTAGAAAGAGAAAAAATGAAAGCCCTAATAATCAATAATCAGGACTTTGATCAGAATATAATAGTTAGTTCGTGCGTAAATAATGATATAGATTAGTGGTTGAATAAAATTCCGTATGCCAAGAACCCAGTCCGATTATATAATTTTAAAGTTGAAATTTTCTCAGACGCGTCTCTTACCGGATGGGGTGCACATTGTAACCAGGTCAGTGTACACAGGTTCTGGTCAATTCAGGAACGGAAACTCCATATTAACCATCTAGAACTCATCGCCGCGTTTTTAGCCCTTAAATGTTTTGCTCGGGAATATGTGAATTGCGAGATCTTGCTTAGAATCGACAATACTACGGCAATTTCTTACATTAACCGAATGGGAGGAGTGCAATATCCAGAGCTAAATAAATTAGCGAGAAATATCTGGAATTGGTGTGAAGAAAGGAGAATTTGGGTGTTTGCATCCTACATTCCCTCTAAAGAAAATACTGATGCAGACCGAGAGTCCAGAAGGACTAATATAGACACCGAGTGGGAACTGGGTGGATCTTATTTCAATCAAATTGTAAGCAGATGGGGATTACCGGATATTGATCTGTTCGCGTCGAGAAATAATGCTAAAGTTTTAAAATTTTGCTCGTGGAAAAAAGACCCAGACGCGTTGTTCATAGATGCATTCACAATTAATTGGAAAAAACATTTTTTCTATGCCTTCCCTCCGTTCTCGGTCATCGCAAGAACTTTACAAAAAATTAAATTAGACAAAACAATGGGAATACTAGTTGTGCCTTTTTGGCCAACACAACCCTGGTTCCCATTATTTAAAACAATGCTAACTGACGAACCGTTGATATTTTCACCATCATCTGATCTATTATTATCTCCCTGCAGGTTGCTGACACACCCATTGGCGGAGCAGCTTACCCTGGTTGCAGGGAAGCTCTCAGGGAAACATATCAACGAAGAGGACTGCCAGAAGAAACCCTGGACATTCTAATTTCCTATTTAACGGACTCGACTATTCAACAGTATAATTCAGCATTAAAAAATTGGTGGAATTTTTGCAACAAATTTAAATTAGAACCTCTGGAGCCGGAGATCAAGACAGTGCTAAAATTTTTAGCAGCAAGGTTTGAACAGGGAGCCGCTTATGGCACATTAAATACAGAGAGATCAGCAATCAACCTTCTGAGTTCAATAGATTTAGGTAATGATCCGTTAATAGCTCGTTTCTTCAAAGGCGTGTTTAAAATGCGTCCGCTCAAGCCTAAGTATGACGTCATTTGGAGTTCGGAGACAGTCCTTAAGTGGGCAGAAACACTGGAGCCTCTGGAGTCACTAGACTTGAAGTTTCTAACTCTCAAGTTAGTGTCTTTACTTGCGTTAGCGACAGCTCACAGAGTCCAGACATTATCGCTGATTAAAATAAAAAATATTGTATTTTCGGAAGGTGGAACAAAAATCAAAATAACAGATCACATTAAAACGTCAAGAGTCGGAGTCGCACAACCGGTGTTTGTCCTGACATTCTTAGATAGTAGGAAATCTGCATGCGTAGCCAGAGTCTTAAGGTTCTACATCAATCAAACAAAAGATCTCAGAGGTAAAACGGAAAACCTGTTCATTACATTTAAAAAACCATATCACGAGGCCACATCTCAATCGATTAGTCGTTGGATTAAGCAGTGCCTAATATCCGCAGGCATAGATAAACGCTTTTGTGCCCATAGTACTAGACACGCTGCTACGTCAGCAGCAGAAATTAAAGGAATAGACATCAATATAATTAAAAGCACAGCAGGATGGTCAGAACAGTTCAAGACTTTTGCTAAATTTTATAAGAGGCCTATTGAGATTGACCAGGGTAATTTTGTAACTTCACTATTTTTAGATAAGAAAAAAGATAATTAAAATAGAGCTATTTCAAAGTTTGTAAAGGAATACATCAATAAACAAAAACAAAAGATAAAAAAGATTAGTTAAAAACTCTAAACATCTACATTGTAATCTCGAAGAACGAGACTTGAAATATAATTATAAATCAAACGAACTTACCTGTAAATGAAGTTCGATTGTAATTATATGAAAGTCTCGTTCGAGATAATTACAACCCACCCTGGTTCCTTTTAGTGAACGTTTCCCACCCTCAAGTTTTATGTAAGTACACTAACATAAGGTCAAAATAGCTAGGTAAGTTTTTTGTTTATTTAAATTTTTAGCTTTAAACTATATGAAGATTCACCGGTGGAGGGCGGGTCGAGAGCCCGCGTAAATTTTAAGTTACTCTGAAAATTGTGGTTGAAATCTAGGGAAAGTAGCGGTACTACATTGTAATCATCTCGAACAAGACTTTCATATAATTACAATCGAACTTCACTTACAGGTAAGTTCGTTTGATTTATAATTCTTTATTATTTTAATCGTAATTTCTTTCATTCTCTATCCATTCGTCGCTTTCCCATACTAAATCTTGCTTGGGACTTCCCAAGAAGAATAATTTTCCCAGTCTTTTAATTTCTTTTACAATTAATTTCTTTTGCTCGCTTAATTCGCTCGGCTTCAAAATAATTTCTCACACTCTTTATTTCTTAATTCAATCAAACCTTCGCTAAAAATAATATAATATTATTAGCTAAATAAATACAATAATGGAAAATTAAATAGTAATCGCCGCAATAATCATAATAATAATTATTTTTATTAATTTTTGATCTAAATTGTGGGTTGGACCAGCTCTTTATTGTTTAGAAAAGTAACCATTGATGTTTTCTTTTATTATGGTATGCATGCCTACCTACTTTAACCATTATATTATTGTTTATTTAAATAAAACTCTGACGGAACCCAGTTTTTTTATTTTTAGGCGAGAGTAGAGCATACCTACGCTCGCGCTTAAGGCATGCAATACATTTATATATTTTCACCTATTTGTCTTGGCAACCGTAATAATTAAATGTATAATTCGTACTTCGCTAGCACCTACGCCACTGATTTAGATCAAGTCCCAACCCTTGATCAGCTGCCAAATAATCAGAGAGGCATATTAAGCGTTTTTGAAGTTAGCTATGACAGAGTCTACAAACAACTAAATGCTTTAAACCCTAACAAAGGGGCAGGCCCGGATGGATTACCTAGTTACTTCTTAAAAAATTGTGCCATGGGACTTTGTGAGTTTGTTATGAAATTGTTTTGAATTTGCTCCAGCTGATCGAACCCTGAGGCGAAATAGACTTCTACGCACCACAAGGTCCAATAGGAACTATGTAATCAACGGCCCAAAGAATAGAATAGCTTACCTTGTGAATACCGGGCATCACGACCTAAGTTTCTACGGTGGTACTGTTACGGCCAGCGTAACCACCGTTTTTTTTTATTATTTTTATTAATGAACAATAATTTCAAAATAATTTAAAAATACTCTAAAAAACTACATTAGAAAGAAATTACATTCATGATAAATAATATTTCCAACACTAAGGCTAGAATATTCTTTGTTAAAACTATCGTCCAGGCTACATATCTCCGTCCCCTCTGGTAACCAAAAAACCCTAGGCCAGGTTGCCCCATTTCGAAATGGGCGGGATTTAAGTAATCCAATTACCAATCCGACTAGACTCAGACGCCATCATGGCTTACATAGTTTTTATGTACCCCGGTACCAAGAACATGTACCCTGATAAGCCCCCCTGTACGCTTTCCAACCATGGCTGCTTTTCTGGGAAGGACCCCATGATTTTAGAACAAAGGAAACACGCCTAACTAACTTTTCCAACATAACCATTTCTTTTTTTAAAAAATATATTTTACAATTATTCACGGTCTATATATTAACCTACTTCTTACGTAAAACTTCCATTTTATTTATCGTAAATTTTCTTTCCCTGGAAGTCACTATTCTAACCGATACGTTGTAAATTATCAAACTTGAGTACCTCATGGTGTTAATTTATCCCAGAGCTAACTCGAGAATATGTCTTTTTCTCAAGAATAATTCCCGTTTTCTTAAACATCTATTTCACTAACATTTGTTCATTGTATTTCACAAAAAAAAAAACTCAATAACAAAAAAACATCGAGACATCATAAATAATGTTTAAAAGGGAAATGGCATTACCCATTTTAAAAAAGGGAACTTCGAACATACCAACACCATGCTTCCACTGGTACCATAAAAACTGTTGGAAAAATACGTTGGAATTGTATTACTCACCATAAAAGATTAACCCTTAAATTAAACTATGCTGGTTAGGGAAAACCCTAATTATTTCCTTAAAGATTTCTAAAATAATAGTTCAAATTATCAGTAAAATTATTTCATTCCCCAAATTAATATTTAACTTGGACTATGTACCGTAAATTTTTCTTTTATTTCATTCGGTTTACTCTCGATAACTATGAAGCAATCCCCTTTGTCCTCAGTGACATTCAAGCTATTTTTAGTAACTTTACAGCGTTCGATGCACGTACTCAGCTACCTACTCGAGAATTTCCCCTCCGCCGCCATCTTGGATACATAATTATTCCAACATGGCTCCTCGCGTGATGCCCCTTCCAAAAGAGGGAACGTAGGCGAGTACCCCAGATAAAGAACTCGGTACCGTATATAAACCGCAAGTTTTTCGCTAGCCAGGGGGTATAATACCAACCTTATTCTCGAACGTTGCGGGGCATAACATTGAATTTATCCACGAACGTTACGGGGCACAACATCAAATTTATTCGCGAACGTTACGGGGCACAACATCGAATTTATTCGCGAACGTTACGGGGTACAACATCGAAACTTATTTGTGAACGTATCGCGTTAGTATAACAATTTTTGCGATCAAGTTATATTTGCCTAAATACAATTTTATTTCACAAAAGTGTGGTAATTCCATTTGTTAAATTCTGTTTCTTTCCAAATTACCTTCGGTAATACCTTTTCTCAGGTAGAAGAAAATATTATAGAATAACAATTAGACGCAATTTTAAAATACGAAATAAAGATTTTAGAACGAGTATATCTCTATCCCCCGTTCGGTTTAATTAAATTATTCAAATCGGACGCGCATTTTAAAATCATTATAAAACCCTGCGATCAACTAAACTGTCATCCTGAAATCCCTCGAATAAAAGATACGATAGTTATTTCGGTGAATTTAAGTCTATTGTAAATTATCTTCGGTAATACCTTCCCCAGGTAAAAGAAATATTATGTAAATAATCCCACGTGCATTGTGAATAATAATAAACAGTAATAAACGTAAAGAGAAATTCTCGTTGAACATTTTCAAGACTCTAAAAATTATTATTTAATACTTAATCACACATAGGTAGTTTATGATTAGTAAAAGAGTAAAATATACTTATATAATTTGAGATTAACTTAAAATCTTATTAAATGCAAACCAAATTGTAGTTATAATCGCTGTTAGAACTATGAATAATTCCAGTCAGTTAAATAACCTTCCCGTAATTATATCACTATATCAGTTATTAACATTGAGTATTTTGAATAAAAGTAATTCATAAAACGAATTTAAGGTATTGAAAATCATTTATCTCCGGTACTATCCCTTTTTCTACCTGCATCAAGTCAGCACGAGCCAGCGGTTAGACAGCTTTTCATCGCACATTTTTATTGTCCAAAAACCAGGTATAATTTGTTACTTTC